TCCGCGGTCCCAACCGTGGTTTTAAGTCGAGCACTAGCTGTACAAAGTCTCCTTCCCTATCTAATTTGAGCAGGCAGGGACACCTGAAGGAAGGTTCACCTGCAAAACATTATTGGGCTATTAATGACCTGCTTTGGCAGGATCAAGATTGACCTTACCCTGCAGTCAACTGGCTTAGGTCTCTGATTCTCAGTCAAAGTTATTCACTTAGTTTTGTATAAAAAGAACTCAGTAGTTGAAGAATACAGCAAAATTCTTCAAACCAGTGCTTATATTTATAGGAGGAAAGAAAATTGTAAGGCACTTAAGTTTTATACTTCCCCAAGTATATTGAAGTATAAATGTTTCTCCAAAGATGAAATACACAGGAACCCACAGACAGAAACATCCATCTGTGCCCCAGGATGTAGGCTTGCCAATATTTATTTGACAGTGGATCTTGACAAAGCAACCAATTATTGAGAAAATTTCCAATCTTTAGAAAAATGTGAAGCAAGGCCTGGTATGGTGGCTCACGCCTGTAATCTCAGCACTTTCGGAGGCCGAGGCAGGGGGATCACCTGAGATTAGGCAAGACCAGCCTGGCCAACATGGTGAAACCCTGTCTTTAAAAAAAGAAAGAAAGAAAAATGGGAAGCAAAACCACAATGAGGTATTATTGTGCATTAATTAGAATGGCCAATATTAAACAAACAAAAAATAACAAATATTGTCAAGAATGTAAAGGAAATGGCCAGATGTGGTGGCTCAAGCCTGTAATCCCAGCTCTTAGGGAGACAGAGGTAGAGGACTGCTTGAGCCCAGGCATTTGAAACTTGCCTGGGCAATATAGCGAGATCCCGTTCTCCAAAAAAAGGAAAAGAAAGAAGGAATGTAAATGAATTGAAACCCTTATGCACTGTTGGTGGAAAAAAAGTGATGGAGCCACAAGAAAAATGTATGCAAGTTCCTCCAAAATAAAAAATGAATCTATATGACCCAATAATTCCACTTTCTGAACATCTATTCAAAGTACGCAAAGTATGTATACCTGAAAGAAATATTCACACAACCATGTTTACTGCAGCAGTATTCACTTTATTATTCTCGCATTGCTATAAATAAATACTTGAGACTGGATTATTTATTTTAAAAAGAGGTTTAATTGGCTCATGGTTTTGCAGGCTATACAGGAAGTATAGCGGCTTCTGCTTCTGGGGAGGCCTCAAAAAGCTTCCAATCATGGCACAAAGCAAAGGGAGAGTGAGTCATCTCACACAGTGGGAGCAGGAGCAAGACAGAGTGACAGGAAAGGTGCCACATGTTTTGTTGTTTTTTTAGACGGAGTTTCTCTCTTGTTACTCAGGCTGGAGTGCAACGGTGCGATCTCAGCTCACCGCAACCTCCGCCTCCTGGGTTCAGGCAATTCTCCTGCCTCAGCCTCCTGAGTAGCTGGGATTACAGGCACGCGCCACCATGCCCAGCTAATTTTTTGTATTTTTAGTAGAGACGGGGTTTCACCATGTTGACCAGGATGGTCTCGATCTCTTGACCTCGTGATCCACCCGCCTTGGCCTCCCAAAGTGCTGGGATTACAGGCTTGAGCCACTGGGCCCGGCCGGTGCCACATGCTTTTAAAAATAAGATCTCAGTAGAAGTTGCTCACTATGGAAAAGACAGTACCAAAGGGGCTGCTGCTAAACTATTCATGAGATGCCAACCCTATGATCCAATCACTTCCCACCAGGCCCCACCTCCAACATTAGGGATTGTAATTTGACATGAGATTTAATTGGGGACATAGATCCAAACCATATCATTCATAAAACTGAAAAAGTAAAAAAATTCAAACATCCTTCTTTTAAAGTCATTCATTCATTGATGTGGCTTGTACATGCAATGAAATTTTTTTTTTTTTTTTTTTTGAGACGGAGTTTCGCTCTTGTTACCCAGGCTGGAGTGCAATGGCGTGATCTCGGCTCACCACAATCTCCGCCTCCTGGGTTCAAGCTATTCTCCTGCCTCAGCCTCCCGAGTAGGCGGGACTACAGGCGTGCGCCACCATGCCCAACTAATTTTTTGTATGTTTAGTAGAGACGGGGTTTCACTATGTTGACCAGGATGGTCTCAATCTCTTGACCTTGCAATCCACCCGCCTCGGCCTCCCAAAGTGCTGGGATTACAGGTGTGAGCCACCGTGCCCAGCCAGCAATGAAATATTCTTTACGTTCGCATGAAAATATCTTGTCAGATGCTACAATAAGAATAAATCTTAAAGCCATTATCTTAAGTGAAATAAGACACCAACAAAATGACAGTACATGAGTCTACTTTTACACACTATTTTAAGTAGTAAGCATATAAAAAACAGAAGTAGAAAGGTGCTTGCCTATGGTTAGCATTGTGAAACCTCAGTGGAGCCAGAGATCAACAAGGGTTATTTGGAATAAGAAGGCCCTCTGTCAGATGGCCAACTCAAGAGCCCATAGACATGGCTACAGACAAGAAAATGGTGCACCCAGCTTGGTCTTACTAAGAATTCTGAAGCAGTTCTGCAACCTTTTACAAACTCCTCTCCCAGCTACAGTACACAAGTGGTCCTTCCTATCAAGAAACCTGCAGGGAGATACACTCAGCCATGGCCCTGGAGGCAGGCCTGCAGATCTTGGCCTCAACTGTGGTCCCTGAAGCAGCCCTGTGACTCAGTTCTAGCCCTCACAGCCACAGTACATAGCCAGTTGTACGCAATCACGGAACCAGAAAGAGGCCTGTGAAAACTGTTCCCCGGTAGTCAACAGAAGCCAAACCCATTCATATACCTGGTATCTGGCCCATCATATGCAGACGAACTTCAAAATCCTAGCCTACTGCCTGCCATATAGATTAATATCCTCAAGAAAACTTAATCTTTCCAGGGACCAAAAAGAATTCATGACTGTCCAAATCTCTGGTAACAGAACCATCAAAGGCAGACCCCACAGCAGACCCAGTAGCACCCTTGTGACCCAACTAGAACCCTTCTCTGTAACCCCAGAGGTAATATCATCAGCCTGGGGACTCCATGAAAAATCTTTACTTGCCAAAAATAGTTTATAGAAACTATAAGAGTTGCCAAATGCGCAAACACAGGGGTGCTTCAAGGACCACAGCCCAGGCCAAGATCTGCAGGCCCGCCCCCAGGGCCACAGCTTCTATCTTAACATATTACTGGAAATTTGTATCAGAATAATTAGACAATGAAAAGGAGAATAAAGCTCTCCACCTTGGAAATGAAAAAAAAAAATTACCATTTGTGAATAATCGAATCATGCATATATATAAAACCCTAAAGTAAAACCAGAAAAATTGATTGAACTAATAAATGTATTCATTAAAGTATCAGGATACATAATCAAAATATAGATGTTACCCAATCTATATTGGTTGTTGGGATTTTTTTTTTTGAGACAGGGCTCTATTGCCCAGGCTTATCTCAAACTCCTGTACTCAAGTGATATAACTGTCTTGGCCTCTTAAAGTGCTGGGATCACAGAAATGAGCCGCTGCACCTGGGACCACATACAAATATTTCTTGCATTTCCACAGAGTAAAAACAAACTTTCCAAAAAAAGAAACTTTCCATTTGCAATAGTATAAAAATAAGAAAGTTAATCCAAATACATTTAACAGATGATGTAAAAAATATATAGTATTATACACTAAATCCAATAAGATATTAATGACAGAAATTGAAGTAGACACAAATAAATGGAAACATATTCCATTAGGATAACTAATATTGTCAAAGAATATTATCCAAAGTGATCTACAAATTCAGTGTGATCCCTATCAAAATTTTACTGGCTTTTTTCACAATAATAGAACACACGATTGTAAAATTTAAGTAATCTTAAATGACTTTAAATAACCTGAGCAATCCTGAGAAAGAACAAAGCTGGGGGGCAGTGCACTCCCTCCCTCCCTCCGTCCCTCCCTCCATCCCTCCCTCCTTCCTCCCTCCCTGTCTCCCTTCCTTCCTCCCTTTCTTCCTCCCTCCCTCCCTTCCTCCCTCCCTTCCTTCCTTCCCTCCCTCCCTTCTTCCTTCCTTCCTTCCTTTCTTCCTTTCCTTCTCTCTCTCTCTCTCTTTTTTTCTTTTTGAGATGGAGTCGGGCTCTGTTGCCAAGGCTGGAGTGCAGTGGCACAATCTAGATTCACTGCAACCTTTGCCTCTTGGGTTCAAGAGATTCTCCTGCCTCAGATTTCAGAGTAGCTGGGATTACAAATGCCCACTACCATACCTGGCTAATTTTTGCATATTTTTAGTAGAGACAGGGTTTCACCATATTGGCCAGGCTAGTCTTGAACTTCTCTTTTTTTTTTTGAGACGGAGTTTTGCTCTTGTTGCCCAGGCTGGAGTGCAATGGCGCAATCTCGGCTCACCGCAACCTCCGCCTCCTGGGTTCGGGCAATTCTCCTGCCTCAGCCTCCTGAGTAGCTGGGATTACAGGCACGCACCGCCATGCCCAGCTAATTTTTTGTATTTTTAGTAGAGACGGGCTTTCACCATGTTGACCAGGATGGTCTCGCTCTCTTGACCTCGTGATCCACCTGCCTCGGCCTCCCAAAGTGTTGGGATTACAGGCGTGAGCCACCGCGCCCGGCCTGGTTTTTTTTTTTTTTTGAGGCAGAGTCTCCCTCTGTTGCCAGGCTAGAGTACAGTGGCAAGATCTCAGCTCACTGCAACCTGTACCTCACAAGTTCAAGTGATTCTCCTGCCTCAGCCTCCCAAGTAGCTGGAACTACAGGCGCATGCCACCACACCCAGCTAATTTTTGTATTTTCAGTGGAGATGGGGTTTCACCATGTTGTCCAGGATAGTTTTGATTTTTGACTTTGTGATCTGCCCACCTCAGCTTCCCAGAGTTCTGGGATTATAGGCGTGAGCCACCATACCTGACCCCAAACTACATTTTAAGGCCTGGGTTCCTTCTTGACCTTTGGTCCCCTTGCCTGTGTCTTCTCCTTCATTCACTCTCACATACCTGGTGGTCTGGCTACTGTCTTATGTATCTTCACATTGTAGGGCTCCTTTGTTTGCTCCAGACAGGTGACCAGGTCTGGGTTAGAGATAGCAACACCTGTTTTATTAAAAAAAAAAAAAATGACTATTGACGGGATTCTCCAATTACCAACCTAGTAGTATGCTAAGCAGAATAGAGAAATTATGGAAGATTCTAGAAAATTCATCCAAAAATTGTTCCTGACAGAAACTTTAGAATATTTAAGTGTTTTAAATCTGTGGGTTCTAAGTTCCACTACCCAGTACTACTGAATAAAAAAAAACTTAAAATACAATACAAATTGTATTTTAAGATGTGGGAAATGATATTGCATGTCACTGAATTTCTAGAATTACCACTAACCTAATTTGTGAAGGACACAAATTAGCTCAAGAAAACAGAAGACTTACGTAAAGACATAACAAAAAAGTTCCCAAGAGACATTCTACAAAGGAATAAAATAAAGCTGAGAGAATTAGGAATTACGTGTTAAAGTTATACTCACCTAGGGAGACCAGGTTTCTGTAGTTCTCCAACATCACATCTCTATATAAATTCTGCTGGGCAGGGTCCAGACATTTCCACTCTTCTGGAGTGAATTCTACGGTCACATCCCTGAATGTTAAGAGTTTCTGAAAATACATATGTATCAAGTTACAGAGTTCTTCATTTGATCACAGGTAAAATGAGTTAAGATAACTAGTTCTAAGATGTGATTGACTGGGATTCTCTGACAAAACAACTTTGAACACAGTAATGTTCTCTAAGTATTCTATTCTGTAACTGCGGAAAAAGAGGGCAAACAAAAATTTCTGTCGCTGCAATAAAGAAAATGGGCTCAACAGCAGC